TAATATAGTTCAATACATACGCCCACATCGTTAGGTCGGAATAAGAACTGACGGTTTAAATTACTCTTTTCAATAGTATCCATATCCGTAATGTGAACAGCACCTCTAGGGCCAGTCCCTAAACCTAACATGGCCCAATTTTTTAACATTTCGCAACCGATGGCGCCAGCACCAACCTATTCTCGCATAAAGTTTTCGTAAAATAAGCAATTTTATACTATAATTAAGCTCTTTAATAAAATAATCTGAGTTTTACCAAGAAAGCTCTGAAATTTGCAATTTTGTTTTGAAATTCTTTGCCAAAAACTGCTATTTGACCATCATAACGAGAACCACACTAGCATTAAACAGAATTAAAGTAAGCTACGAGATAAAAAAATTATTTAATACGTATTTTTGCTAATGTTTTATTGCTTACTGGTGCACATTCTTCTTCACCAAATTTAACATTATCTGGAAGTGATTCTAGTGAATCGAAATAAAAGAATTGATAGATTGGGTGGAATTTTCCGCTGCATGCTTTGAGTACTTCTTGGGCTACTAAACCTCCAAATACTGCAGCCATTGGTGATAAATCACCAGCAGCTCCATATGCAAGTTGTTTGATAAGCTTATCACTTAATTCAACCTATAAATTCAAATTTTGAATTAAGGAAAAGGAATGATGATGAGACATTTAATATTACTTTAATGTACCTTTTCCTCGCACTGCTCATTAAGCTCTTTGACTAATTTAAGAACCTCATCAGCATCATGTTCATTATATGGACGAGGAAGGGAACCACTCTTTTCAGTATATGCATGTAACGCTTGGAAACCCAAATGCAATTGTCCAGGTCGATCCCATTTACCAAAATCGGAAATAAGAAACTCTGGTTTTTTCAAAGCTTCTCTAAGAGATTTAAAGCTAACTGTTTTTGGCTGTTTGACTTGCGTGAAAATACCACCACTAATATAGTCACAAAAATTTGAAGTGTCACCGATGCTAAAAGTATAAGGGCCTAATAGCAAAGAGATATATAAAATTGTTAACATGTATGTATTCAAAAGTCAATCTCAACGAATGGGACATAAAATTTACACCTACCCAGCACTTTAACTTTTCTTGGTTCACAATCATTCAATTCTTCCATACCCTTAATTTCAGTAAAAGTCACATACTCTCCATCTTCCAGGCCATGCCGCGATTCATCAAGACACGTGACAATTCCGTCAATGTCTTTTGAAATCGCAGCGACCATGCCTGTTAATGGATTCTCACCAGTAGTGTCAGTGACAGTAAAATGTGGTCCAAAGTCGATAAAAACCATGCTGATTCACAGATAAAAGTCAATAATAATTATTTAAGAATTAGACAACATTACAAAATTCCGTTTTTTACCCGAAAAGACCGCGAATATCGGTTGAAATAAAATGTATTCCATTAGCATGAGTAAAATCGTTAATTTCCAAT